TTTTTTTTTTTTTTTTTTTGAGATGGAGTCTTGCTCTGTCCCCCAGCTGGAGTGCAGTAGCGCAATCTCAGCTCACTGCAAGCTCTGCCTCCCCGGTTCATGCCATTCTCCTGCCTCAGCCTCCCGAGTAGCTGGGACTATAGGCGCCCAATACTACACCCGGCTAATTTTTTGTATTTTTAGTGGAGACAAGGTTTCACTGTGTTAGCCAGGATGGTCTTGATCTCCTGACCTCGTGATCCGCCCACCTCGGCCTCCCAAAATGCTGGGATTACAGGTGTGAGCCACCTCGCCAGCCTTCTCTCTTTTTTTTTTTTTTAAGACGGAATCTCGCTCTGTCACCCAAGCTGGAGTGCAGTGGCGACATCTCAGCTCACTGCAATCTCCACCTCCCAGCAGGCTGGTCTTGAACTCCTGACCTCGTGATCCAACCACCTTGGCCTCCCAAAGTCCTGGGATTACAAGCATGAGCCACCGCACCCGGCCATTCTTTTCTTTAATCATTAAATTATTGCCAGGCACTGTTCTAGGCACTGCAGGTACAGTTGAGACAACAAAGGCAATTAAATACCTGTTCTCTTGGAACTTACACTCTAGATATATTCTCAGGATGTCAATCAACTGGGCAGTTGGATACATAGATCTGGAACTCAAAGGAGAGGTCTGGGCTAGGCATATTAATTTGAGAACTGCTGATATATAAATGAGAATGAAAGCTATTAACACATTCCTCAAGGACTCTGCTGTTTTTGTTTGTTTATACCCCTAGCACTTGGCATAGTTCCTGGTACTTAAGGATGATGATATTTAAGGCCCTTCAAGAAATAACCTCTGCCTACTTACTCGGCTTCCTCTTTTACTCTTTCACTTGCAGCAAATGCTGAAACCACATTTAATATTAATATCAAAGCTTCCTGAACTTTGTATATTATCTGGCACCTCATGCCTTTGCATCTGTTCCCTCTACCTGAAGTGCCTTACTACTCACCCTCACTGTATGACTACCTTACTATCACGGAGTCCCTGAAACTCAGCTTCAGTTTCACTTCCTCTGGTAAGACTGGTAAGATTTCCTGACTACCCTCTCTAAACTGTAAACTAAGATAGGAGTCCTCCACTCAGTTCTCATAGGATCCTACGTTTTCCTGTATCACCACACTCATTGCACTATACTGTAACTGAGTGTCCTTAAATTCTGCCTGGCACACAATTGGTTCTCAAAAATATTTATTAAAGGAATCAGTGAACTGATATAAAATATAGGTACATCACTAGCGGCACTCTCACCAGAATTAGAATTTTTTTTAACTGACACTAGAATAAAGAAAAGGAAGGAAGAATTTTCCTCAAGAAAACTGCATACATAATTTAGCAAAATCTGGAAAAGCAAGAAAAGGAAAAGAGTTTATAAAATGTGTGAATTATATATAGTGCATCTACATGATGGATTATACATCCATTAAAAATGTCTCCGAAAATGGGGAAACACTATGCAGAATCTGAAACTTATGTATCATACGACACAGGCAAGGGCAGGGACAATGGAGGGGGAATGAAGGGAGTTAGAAAGTAAGAAAGAAGTACACCAAAATGTTAAAAGTAGTTTCTCCGTGGTTTTTTTTTTTTAATACCACAATTGCCCGCATCTTAAACAAAAGCATTTATTATTTGCAAAATTTTAAAAAATTATTTTTAAAAAGTCACCAAGCTTGATCTTCTAGATCCAAAATTTTTAAATCAGAGAATGTACATGCAGGTATCTTCTTTCTAAGTCTGAAAGAAAGGCGGCCACAGGGAAGACTTTGGTTCAGACAGTTCCCATCACCAGCCATCCAGAATACTCTGGATAGTTCACAGCAAGTGTGAAAATCAAGATGCCTTAAACTGGATGGGGAAAAAATGAAGATAGTGCACAATTAGACATGTTAATATGGCGAAGTCTGTATCTTAGATAATGACTCCTAAGTAAATACATAAGCAAGATAAGATGCTGTGACAAATCCGTGGAGGCAGAGAGTAGAAGGATGGTTACCAGAGGCTAGGAAGGGGAATGAGAGGGTTGGGGAGAGGTGGGAATGGTTAATGAGTACAAAAAAAATAGAAAGAATGAATATGACCTAGTATTTGATAGGACAACGGGGGATTATAGTCAATAATAATTTAATTGAACATTTAAAAATAAAAGAGCATAACTGAATTGTTTGTAATATAAAGGATATATGCTTGAGGGAATGGATACCCCATTTTTCATGATGTAAGTATGACACATTTCATGCCTGTATCAAAACATCTCATGTACCCCATAAATAAATATACCTACTAAGTACCCACAAAAATTAAAATTAAAAACTAAGAAAACATGCTGTGATAGATACAGAAATTAATGAAACAAATATTCTAACCTCAAGGCACTTAGAGTGGAATAAATTGTTAAGTTGTTATTTCATATTTTTGGTCAAAATTCCTGCTATGTAGCTACACTATTTACTCAGAGCAACTTTACCTCCAAACTTGAAACAACTGAAACGCCTTTGGAACACATCCTTAACCATTCTATGAAAATACTTTCATTATCATTGTTAGAGTAGTTGAGAACAATAAAATTATTATCATAAGGTTAAACTAAACATGAGTTGTTGCTAGTTTAATAAATAATTCAGCACAGTTACTTTTCATATGACTAAAATTAAATTTCATTCTTCTGTAAAGAATGAAACCCACTTTATTTCTGTAAAAAAATTTAAATGGAGCCAGGCATGGTGGCTCACACCTGTAGTCCCCACACTTTGGGAGGCTGAAGGGGAGAACTGCTGGAGCCAAGGAGTTTTCAAGACCAGCCTGGACAACGTAGTGAGTTTTTCTCCCTATAAAATTAAAAATTAGCCAGACATGGTGGCGTGCGCCTATAGTCCCAGCTACTGGGGAGGCTGGGGGATCACTTGAGCCGAGGAAGTTAGGGCTGCAGTAAGCAATGATTGTGCCACTGCACTCCAACCTGGACGACAGAACAAG